TTGATCTCGGTGATTGGACATTTGGTGTTCCCACGCTGGATGTACTCCTGTGCTGCAGTAATGGTTGCTGGCTTCTGCATTCACTGTCTTGTGATCTTCTCCGGGCTGTTGTGTTAGGGCTGCCATCCTCGGTTGATATTGCCGGAGTGTATCTGTGTTTAATCACACTACTATGGGGTCGATTTGGGACTCCCAAGTTGGGAGTTCAACATTTTTTCTGATGGGCCTCTTTCCCCTCTTTTCACTTTTCTTTTTGTTTTCTTTCGAACATCTGTGGCCTCTTTTATTTTCTTTTATAATTCTTTTTGGAGATCGAAATGAGTTTTCTACGATATCAGACGAGGATGAAAAGGAGTAATCATTTACAGATGGAATGGTACATTGGTTGCAAACTACTTCAGTGGTGTCTATGCTATGATCTAGGAAAGTGCCGTCAGAGATTCGCACAGCTGCTGAAAATGGCGATAAATGGTCGCTATTGTTAGCTTCATTACTAGGTACGAAGGAGACTACTTGACTATTCGAGACTTCATTATCTTCCGTGCATCTACTGGTATTTATTGCGTAAAATCCGATCCCTCACCAGTTGTGGTACCGTCTACTCCTTTTGCCGCCGATAAGCTGTGATTTTTCACCAATCTCGCTAGCTCATCGATTCTGGCCGCCATGGAGCTGATCTCTTCCGTAGCTTGACTGGCTCTCGGTCTATAAGGCCTCCACCACTTGATTCCCAGCCCTTGGTTCCTGAGGTTCACACCATTAGCCTTCACAAATTCACTTGCCACATCTGGCTGTGCGAATTGTATGCAGATTGGCCTCGGCCTAGATTCCAAATCTCTATCAGACCGGTACGCTCCGACTCGGAGCCTCCGAGCCTCTTGGCTGTACGCATTGAATCAGTAGCACATCTTGCTCCAGCTCGAGTCAGTGCACTCTCCACTTGTTCTTTGACTGTTGGTTTTAATATCGGAGTCCCATCTTCCTTTTCTGTCGTCGTATCAGCCTCCGGGACACCAAATACCACTACTTTAGCATTATTTTTATAGTCGAATTTTGTGTAGGACCACTGTGTCGATCGTACGGGGGCAGGTACTCTCTCACGAGGTTTCGGCAGAACGCTCGTTGTCTCCTCATATCTCCCTACCTGGTTTTCCCCGCGTTTGTTCATGTTCGAGATCAGACTGTACATATCCTTCATCATCTGTGATTGGTTATCGATCTTGTCATTGAGCTTTGACACGTAGTCGGACATTCTTGCATCGATAGTACCAACCCGTTCGTTTGTGTGCTCGATCTTGGCATTCAGGGCTGACAGACTCATATTCGTCTTATCTTCTAGGGCTTTTATTTTTCGTTCAATCAAGACCAAGCAGTCCTGGATGCCCAAGACATTTCCATCTGAGCCTTTCATCACTTGGACGTCTTGTTTTGAAGACATAATATTCGCGAGGTCGGCGATCTGCTGACGGAGGCTGGCGATGTCGGTCGGACTCACAGACATGTTGGGAGAGAGATGCAGAGATCAAAGGATCAACTTGAGCCAGATGGCTATGTGTTCAGGTCCTAACCAAGTGTGAGCTTTTGGATGACTATGGCCGATCATCGTCGAAGGTCGCGGGTGGTGAGAGCGACCACGTGGTGTAACGCCGCACATGTTATTTTTAATTGAGTTATTCTGGCCTAGAACAAGCCGTTATGAAGGGTTATGCTCTTCATGTGAATGATGCATTAATAAGAAGTAACATAGTGTCGTTTGAGGCTGTGCATAACTCGATTTCAATGCTGGTCGACTTGCTTCTTTGGTTGTCCAAGTCAATCCTCCGAACTCACAGCTTCGTAATAATCGTAAATCGGTTGAGTGGAGCTCCTTTCCGAGATACCTGGCCCAGCAACGATGTCGTCAGTTCACACTAGGATAACCTACTACAACCTATGC